GCTGTACCAGGAAAACTAAAATCAGACACACAGGAATAAGAGTACAAAAAGCAATAAGAAAAAAAAAAAAAAGGCCAGCCTAATGGTAGGGACAAGTCCGGAGTTGAATGTTAACTTTCAGAATTTGAACAGAAAGCTCAGACCACAGTGACACTGCAAATTCAGTAGGAGAGAGATTAATTACATGAGACTGAACTAGTGAAATAGAATTTTATGACATTTGACTAAAACATTACTGATTTTCTTCTATGCTTTGTTTTCCAGATTTAAGGATTTTTGTCTTCTCTTGAACTATTGATAGTTTCATCTGCCTACTATTTGAACTGAATCCTAACCTTTTTCTTGGCTTTTAGTCTTAAGCAAACTTTTCTTAACATTTTTGGATTTTGATCTATTAAAACTAAAACTTTTTTTCTTGAAATTAAAAAATTCATGAAAAAAATACCATTTAATGACCGTAGTAAGCTAGGTGCTACTTTATAGTATGTTCATTTTACTCACTGAGGTTTATGCCTAATGTCGGATGTGTTCATAGATATGTATGTACCGGCTGTGCTTGCTATGGAAAGTACTGAGATTAATTAAGATCTCTAGTGAATCAATACAGTGTGTGTGTGTGTGTGTGTGTGTGTGTGTGTGTGTGTGTGTGTGTGTGTGTGTGTGTGTGTGTGTGTGTGTGTTTAAAGGGGGGGGAAGCAACTGTAGATACCAGAGACAGTGTGGGAGGAGGGTGGGAAATAGCAGAGGGTGAGAGGTAGGGAACCAAGGGGGAGAAAAAAAGGAAAATATACAAGAAAAAAGAAATGAAAAATTATTTGTTGACAATAACATGTATGGTAATATCCTTGATTGAGCTAATATATGGTATACTCTGGAGGGAAAAATTTCATTTTGTATACTGTATCAATGTATAGTGAATGAATGTAAATAAGTAAATTTTTTTTAAAAATGTAAGATTACATAAGTTTCTGAAGGTCCATTTAGAAAGTTGTCAAGCATTTTTACGACTGTTTCATGGAATATGTATTCCAAGTAACAGAGCTGGACTACAAATAAACCTTAAAAACAACCTGCTTCCAAGTTAAAAAAATAAATAAAAATTTTAAAAAAAATGAAAGTAGGCAAAGACCTTGATTAAATAGACATTTTTCCAGCAAAGATATACAAATGGCAACAGGCACATAAAAAAGTATTCAATATCACTAATCTTTAGTCAGATGCAAATCAAAGTCACAATGAAACATCACTTTATACCTCTTAGAATAACCAGCAAAAAATAAGATAATAATAACAAGTGCTGACAACATTATGGAGAAGCTAATAGCTTTGTACACAGTGAGTGGGAATACAAAATGGTACAGAAACTATGGAAAACATTCTGAAGGTGCCACAAATATTAAAAATGAGAGATTACCACATGACCCAGCAATCTTACAATGGAATATCATACAGCAATAAAAATGAGCAAGTAACTGCTGCATACAACATGAATTTCACAAATGCAAGATAAGATTTTGCTCAGCAAAAGAAGTCAGATATATTAAGTCATCAGGGAAGTCATGACATATTTTCCTGTTTTTCTATGCAAAAATGTGTTGGAAACCAGCAGTTAGCGTAATGGCTATGTCGCTGGACTCCCACGTAGTCGACCGCGGTTCGTGTCCTGGACCCGGTGGCTTGAAAATTTCGCCAGGCACGTGTGCGTGCGTGCCCAAGATCCCGAGAGGAGAATGGAGGAGAAGGGTTTGCGGCGTGGCCATCCCCTCTGGGGGATGATTTCTCACTTTCTGTCTCTCTGTCTCTCTCTGTCTGTCTGGCAAGCGCACATGCCCTATAGTGAAAAACCTCTCAAAAAAAAAAGTGTCATAACTTTCTCAATGACCCAATAAAACAGAAATCCACACAGAGCATGTTTTCATTTATGTCAAGTTCAAAAGCATAAAAATGAGAATGTTAGAAAAATCTAGGGTGTTAGAAGTCAGAAGAGGGGGCCTCTGGGTTACTTAATGTTTTACATTTCTAGGTAGCAGTCACATGAATAGATTTGTTTTGTAACAGTTCAGTGACTTGCAAAAAGTACAACTTTATGTACTTTTTCTATGAGTTTTGTACTTAATTTTTAAAAAGTTCAATACAGGATGGGGCAAGGGAGGGGTCTAATAAATATCTAAATAGAACACCAGAACAACAACCCCCCAAAACATGAAGAGAATGGTGCAGAAAAAATAACTACAGATCTGTTGACTACAATGTCCCACACTTTTCAAGAAATCAGAGAGCATCCATAAATCCCAAGTATAAAAAATAAAAAAGAAATCCACACCTAATACACTGTTGTGACATAAAAGAAAAACTTAAAAGCCAGTAAAGAAAACCAGAGTTAAAAGTAACCAAGAAAAAGGGACAGATTACCTCTAACGGAAACAACACTGATAACTGACTTTTGTAATCTAACAATGAAAGTCAGAAAATGATGGAACATCCTCTTAAATAGAATAGGAGACAAAATCTCTTCCTAGTAAAACTATCTTTGAAGAACTCACACTACACAAACAGAAAATAAAAAGGAAGGAAAGAAACTATTCGATTATCAGAAAAGTCCTGATGTAATTTTTGCATAGAAAACATAAAACAACCCAATAAAGTTCTTTTCTTTTTCCTCTTCTTTTCTTCCTTCCTTTCTTCTTCTTCTTCTTCTCTCTCTCTCTCTCTTTTTTTTTTTTTTTTTTTTTTTTTTTTAAGGTTTTTGCTATAGGGTCCAGGTGCTCCCCAAGAGAGAAAGCAAGACCAAGAGGGATCAAGTGAGAAATCACTCACAGGGGTATGGCCATGCCACATTCCCCTCTCAGGATTTTGGGAATGCATGAGCACATGCCAGTGTAATTTTCAGGCTACCAGGTCTGGGAATCCAACCTCAGTTAACCATGTGGGAGTCCTGGTCCTGCACCTTAACCTCCACACCACCCACTAGCTCCTTGAAGCTATTTCCTGTCAACAAACTCTAAAGAAACTGCTCCAAGTCCCTTTCCCACTATACAAGATGGCAGGTGGAAAAGCTGTGAAGCAGGATACTAAGAAGAAACCTGAAGCCAAGAAAGCTGATGCCAGTGGCAAGGTTAAAAGGAGACCTCAAGGCTAAAAAGCCCAAGAAGGGGAAGCCCCACTGCCACTGAAGCCAGGTCCTAGTCCGAGGCATTGGCAGGTACTCCCGATCTGCCATGTGTTACAGGAAGGCCATGCACAAGAGGAAATACCTGGCCACTAAATCCAGGATTGAAAAGAAAAGGAGGTTTTGCGATTGTCACAAAACCAGTTGGTGGAGACAAGAATGGTGGTACCGGGTGAAGAAACTACTCCAAGATATACTTTAGTACAAGATGACCCCACACAGAAAATCATGAGCCAAAGGTACCAGTACACACGTAGGTAACTCTCAACAAACACAAGTGGGACAAGGACACCATCGAATGCATGAAAGACAGACAACACAACTGAATTCCGAGTAATATCATTATGTGAGATTAGACAGGGATGGTCTACGGTCCTTTACTTAAAAGAAAGGTGAAGATTTTAACGATTCTTTTAGATGTTGCTAAATATTCTTGGGAAACTGAGGTAATTTCTAGAATAACAGACAGGAATGTCTATTTTCCAAGCAAGTAATAGAAATAAAGTGGGCAAAAAGCAAAAGCCTACAGTAATTCAAAAGGTTGGCAAAAAAAGGATGGGGGATCAATAGTAGACAGTTGGAAAACATTTTTTAGAAATAAAATGTACAATAAGACACATTATAGAACCAAATATTTCAATACTTACAGTAAAAATGAACTGACTAAAATTGCCAGTAAAAAACTAAATTCACGAGAATGGATAAGAAAATAAAACCTAGCTATATACTCTTTGTATGAGCATACACCAAAATGTGAAAATACAAAAGAACTAAAAGTCAATATAAAATATACCAGGTTAACATAAAAAATAGAAAATAAATTAATAATACAAAAAATGGCATGCAAATATTTCAAAAGAGTATCCTACTGCAAGCAATTTCTCTGAGCCAAATAAGCAGTTTAACTGAATCTTTTTTTTTTTGGGAGAGGCTTTTTGCTATAGGGTGTATGTGCTTGCCAGAAACACAGAGAAAGACATGGGGACCAGCAGGTGGCGTGGTGGTTAAGGTGCTGGACACTCCCACGTGGCTGACTACGGTTCAAGTCCCAGACCTGGTGGCTTGCTTTCTCACTTTCCCTCTCTCTCTGTCTCTGGTCAAATTAAAATATATGAATGAATAAATTAAAAAACTGAATAAATAATTCTAAAAAAAAAAAAAAAAAAAAGAAAGAAAGAAAGAAACACAGAGAAAGACAGAGAGACAGAAAGCAAGAAATCACCCCAGGGGGGATGGCCACACTGCAATCCCTTCTCCTCCATTCTCTTCTGGGGATCTTGGGCACAAACGCACATGTGCCTGGCATGAGTTTAAGCCACCAGGTCTGGGACTTGAACCGCGGCCAACTACATTGGAGTCCAGTGACAAAGCCATTATGCTAACTGCTGGTCCCGTTTAACTGAATCTTAAATTCATTCCACCTCATTCAATTCTGCTCAGGGCTTGAGCTTAGTGATGTCATTTAGAAGTCTGGTTCTTTTTTCTGACACGTGTTGATTTTGTAAGCAGCTAGTAATGACTGCATAGGCAAGCCAGTGAAGACAGTGTTTAAGCAGGAAAGGCCTAATACAAGAGCCACATAGTATAGTAACAGAATCTTGAAAGGCTGATAACTGTTTAGAGTATGGTTGCTCAAAAAATCATAAACCCATTGTACATACTCTTACTCACACCTTATTTCTTAACTTTACCCACCAGCCTATAAAGATCCATTTTCTCAAAAGCTCTGCAGTAATCTAGATACTGCCAATAATTTCTATCGGGTAATAAGTGGGCACACACACATGTTCAGAGGTATACACAAGTATATAAAATTATAATAATACTGTACCTCATAAGTAGTTCCATAATGGCACGTGAATTGGCACTGTCTGTTGGTTTCTGCATCTTGCTCAACATTGGTATAAAATATGACACCATCCCCAGAGCAGGACACGATCTGCTTATCATTTGTGCATGGTAAGAATTTTGCACTGAATATATTTGCTCGGTGCCCAGAACGAATTGTTGTCAAAACCTAAAATACACAGAAATAGATTCATGTTAATTTATTATTTACTAGGAAAAAACATTCACACTTGATGCAAACTGGCCAGTAATAAATTGTCATTAACAGTCTCATGTCACTGAAAGGTTATTATTTGATTGCAAACTACTATAATTTTTACAAAATCAGAATCTTACATATTTTCTTTTGGCTTCCTCTGAGATATGAAGATCAAGTATCATCAACTGGAATAGATCATGAAAATTAAATATACATATTTACAGCTATTTGTTTTATCTGACTCACTTAAAAATCTCAGTAAATAAGAAAGGACTATTTCAATTGATTTTTTTTTTTAAAAGAGATTTTTGCTAAAGGGCACATGCAATGACAGAGGGAGAAAGGAGAAATCACACCCCCCAGGAGGGATGGCCACACTGCAATCCCTTCCCCATTCGGGATCTTGGGCAGGCATGCATGCATGCCTGGTGTGGGTTTTAAGTCGTTGGCTCTAGGACTCGAACCACAGTAGACCATGTGGAAATCCAGTGACACAACCATTACACCATCTGCTGATCCCTTGACTGACTTTTGAAAGTGACTGTACAGTAGATGATTATGTTACTTTTTTTCAGGTTTACGAAACAAAAATAAGTGAACCAGCAGATGGCATAATGATTGTGTCACTGAACTCCCATGTAGCCAACCGCGGTTCGAATCCTGGACCCAGTAGCTTAAACTCACGCCGGGCACATGTGCATGTGTGCCCAAGATCCCTAGAGGAGAATGGAGAAGGGATTGCGGCGTGGTCATCACCTCCGGGGGGTGATTTCTCGCTTTCTGCCTCTCTGTCTCTCTCTGTCTTTCTGGTGAGCGCACGTGCCCTATAGCAAAAACCTCTCCAAAAAAGAAAAATAAAAAGAAACAAAAATAAATGGGATTTAAGTGACTCATAAAAATCAAAGTAAAGAATGGTACAGATGATACTGCAGGAGTCCTAACAACCAACTTCTCATTTGAAAGACCAGAAGTACTGTGACAGAAATAAAGTTTAAAATGAACATTTTAATATCTGTAACACGGTTAGATAAAAGACGAAATCTCCAAGTGGTGCTAAACATCTTTCTCATCCCGATATAGCACGTGGAGGAGAGGGAGACAGAAGCAGCCTCCACAGGGCCTGTCCACACCGTGGCCCTCCTCCAGTGCCCCGGTGCGTCAGGTCTTGGGTACTCATGCACGCCCAATGAGTTTCAGGCTGACCGAGTTGGGGGTTTGAACTGCAGCTGTTGTACCGGACCAGGTTTCTCTTGATGACCATGTCACTGCTATGCCATCAAGCCAGTCCCTTTTTTAAAAAATAAAAAATGGGCCAAAGACCTGAACAGTTACAAACAGATATATGAATGGCCTTAAAAATATGAAAAAAAATATTCAGCTTTATTCATAAGGAGAATGGGTGTTAAAATCATCCAGAGAGATCAATTCTCACTTAGCAGACTGGCAACAATGCAAAAGCTGACAACAGACCAGTCACTGAGTTCATGGAGACAGGCCCTTCGAGGAACTCTGGTATCTTACAAAACTACATACATATTTACCCTTGGGCCAGCCAAGTCCACTTCTAGGAATCAACCCTGAAGATACATTCTAACAAGCAAACAAAAAGTATGTACAAGGTTAGTTACCACAAGCACCTGTAACAGCAACACACGGCAGACTGGCTGACTAGTTACAGCATACCCTTACGGTGGCCATACGAGGGAGTGTGAAGGGAGCAGGGAAAATACTAGAAACACAGGGATACCAAAACACAGACACAAGTTGGCTTGGAGTGTCCTGTGGAATAAATCCGGGACAATTCAAGTATCAAAAAGAATAATATTAGTAACAGAGTATAATACACTGAATAAAAACAAAAATCTGTAAACCCATCGTAATAATTTTCTTCAAAAGTAGTGGGAACAAAGGAAATCTTTTTACAGGACTATACATAAATGTAGAAAGAATGACAGTTAAAAAACCACTTTTGGGGGCCAGCAGATGTCATAGCACTCATGTTACTGGACTCTCACATAGCTGACTACAGTTCGAGTCCTGGACCCGATGGCTTAAAAATCACGCCAGGCTGATGGCTTATTAGTTAAAAAGGCGACCCCACGGAGGGGTCAAACGTAACGTTACCAGTGGGAACACACTGACACCATATAATACAAAATCCTCTGTGGGAAATTCTGACCAAAAATGTTTAATATGAATCTACCCATGAAGAAACAGTAAGGCAAATCCAAACTGACAGATGCTATGAAACAACTTACTTGACATGTCAGTGTCAATGGGGAGCCTTTAGACAAGACCGATCCCACGCTCTCTGACCCTGGTAGGTATCTTCGGATGGTTTCCTAATGGCTAACCATACAGTCATTGGTGTCGTGATGGGCCTTTGGCTGTGGCTTTACTGCAGTCACGTTCAGCAGACTGCACTGATTTACCCGCAGTACATGGACAGCTTCAGAAACAGAAGCAGGACCCTCACTGCTTCACCAGTCACTCATACACTGGAGAGGATTCCTTTGTTTTACTGACTGAGAGTTAGTGAGTGAAAAGCTGGAGCCCCTTCCTGCAGAATAGACTTTATTTCAGATACTCCAAACTTACTCCCCCTCAGTCTTCTTCTTCTCAATGGCATCAGTTTCCACCCCCAGTGACCAAATTAAAAAGGACTCATCCTTCAATTATCATTCTCCAATCTACTCTATGAAATCCACCAGCAAAGCCAAGCCAAATACACCCCAAGTTACTTCTCACCACCTCCAATGGTTTTTTTTTTTTTAATTGCCAGAGGATGCATATGCTCAACTGAGAGTGATAGAGACAAACAGAAAGGGAGAGAGTGCCCCCAGTGGGAGTGGTCATCCCTCAGTCCTCTATTTCTCCATCTTGTTGGGATTTGGGGCATGGACACACATACCCAGTGTATTCAAACCACCGGGGCCTGGATTTGAACTACAGTCAGGCATGTGAAATCTGACTCCTTTAAACACTAGGCTATGGGACTATCTGTGTTTTCTTTCTTTAAGCCATGGTTCCCCTCTCTAAATTGCTTCAATGGCTTCCTATCTTTTGATTCCAATTTTGTTCAAGTTCTACTCGCCAAATAGAAGATGGAACCATCTTTTCAAAGTCAACTTTTAGGGGCCAGCAGATGGTGTGGCGGTTAAGGTGCTAGACTCTCACAAAGCTGATCAAGGTTTGAGTCCCAGACCTGGCTTTCTCACTTTCTCTCTCTCTCTCTGGTGAGCACACATGCTTTTTCTCTCTCTCTCACTCTCTCCCTCTCTGGTAAGCACACATGCCCTACAGTTAAAATTTAAAAAATAATAATAAATAAAATTAAATGATTCTTTAAAAAGTCAACTTTTACAAATGTAAAATAAATCTTACCACCTGCATGTTTAAAACCTTCCAGTGACTGACCAGTTCAACTACATTAAAATGTAAATGCCTTAATACACCCATGCCATTTGCGCTCTCTTCCTCAGTCAGCACTCAGCCAGGAGAAAGCCATGCTAAATTTGAGGACCAAGAAGTGAAGCCCATCAGTGAGAAGCCGGTTTCTCTCAGGCTCTCCTAGAGCTGGAGAAGAACACGGGCCTCAGGGCTCAGCTCGGGAGCTAAATGAACAGCAGCAGAGGAGCCTGGAGCTGTGGTCCTAGGTAAAGCTCTCATAACCCTGTTCCCATCCCGCATCCCAAGTCTGTCCAGAAAAGCCAAGCTAAGCTAGTACAAGAACCGGAGAAAAAGTTTAAAGTGGAGACAATGTTGTCTTTGCTGCTCAGAGAATTCTTCCTAAGCCAACTCAAAAAAGCTGTGCAATAAAATTAGCCAACAGGTCCCAGGAGCTGCTTCAGATAGTCATGCACAAGGCAACCCCTACAGACTCATTTCCTAAGTGGGATAAGGGCCAGCTCACAGAGGTTCCCCGGACAATGAGGCTGAATAATTTTCTGGTGTCTGTAAGATGCTTACAGGCAAAAATGTACATTTTGAATTCCAAGAATTTTGGTTATGAATGCAAATGCATAGAACATCATTAGGTAGGTAGGGTAAGATAGAGAGGCAGGAATGAAGAACAGGGGGAAGGAAAAGGGAGGGCAAAACCCAGCCCTATCACCTGCCATCAGCCTAACATTCTTGTTTTCTTTTTTCTTTTCTTTTTTTCTTTCTTTTTGAGAGGTTTTTGCTATAGGCCATGTGCGCTCACCAGAAAGACACAGAGAGACAGAGAGAGAAAAAGTGAGAAATCTCCCCCTAGGGGGGATGGCCACACTGCAATCCCTTCTCCTCCATTCTCCTCTTGGGATCTCGGGCACACACGCACATGTGCCTGACATAAGTTTAAGCCACGGAGTCCAGGACTCGAACCACAGTCAACTACATAGGAGTCCAGTGACAGCTATTACGCCATTTCCTGGTCCTCATCAGCCTACCATTTTAACTTAACTTTCTACCACTCTCTTCCTACTTTATGAACAGATCATTGTTAGAAGAATGAGTACTCGTGCTGTACCTAGTAATTTCAATGAAGGATGAAGTTGTTCTTGTAACTGTTCTCTTAATCTGCACAGCCAATATGAGTACTGCATGCTACTGAAGGTAAACAGCAGCAGGGTTGATAAATACACACACAGGAGCAGTATGTGATTTTTGAGGGCTAGACTTATTTTATAAGTTGTGCTTTCCTTGGACAATACGTGATAATACTTATTTTAAAAACACCTAAGGATTAATATCTAGGTGAAGTTGGCAGAGCGACTTAACCCGATGTGAAAATGGCACGGGTAAGCAGTGGTTACTAAACGCGAGGTGGTCTAGCTGTGACTGAATCCGCCACTCTGCTGATCACTAGGCTATTTAGGCTGAACAGGGTCATGCAGGTGACTACTTCCTCCTCAATCCTCCCCGAACCTGAAGCTTGGCTCAAGAGTATACAGACAGCAGAGTGATTTCTCAATTCCTCTCCAAATGTG